TATTATTTATTATATATATATATATATATATATATATATATTTGAACATTATACACTTAATAATTCTGTTTGGTTAAATATATACACCTGACAGCTATTCATGTACAAACAAATGTTGGATTTATTGAATTAATTACATTTTAATGCGAGAATGAATTTCCCCAATATGATTATATTAATTAATCGTAAACATTGAATCAACTAGCAATTCGTCACATTGAATACATGATTTTCTCAATAGATTTGATATTTAAGTGAAAATATCGATTTTATTTATTATCTATTTTATAAATAAATCTTACTCAATGTATGTAATTTATGAATAAATATTATAATTTAATCTTTTTATACACTTTTTATAATTATACAAATATAATATTTGAAATTTATGCCTTTATGGAAAGATAAAATTACATGATAATAATTTTTAATTTTTATCAAGAATGTAGATAATAATAAATATTATCGAATTAGTAAAATGTATTTGCGTGATAATAAATAATAATCCACGCAATATAAAATAAAAAAAAAAATCGTTACATATAAGCCTGCAGAAGTAATATTTCTCGAAACGTATGCATGCAAAAAGTCTTTTATTACGTCGATCGAAACGAAATTTTCTTTGTACACGTGAGAAAGAAGTCGTATGCTAGAGACGCTTTCCGCGTCACTTTATCTTCTGTCCAAAGAAAAGAATAAAAGAATTAGATAGAAAAAGGCAAGTGTAAGAATATTTAAAAATGTGGTTAAAAGTAGACACAAAAGATTTGAAGTAAAATTAATAAAAAGCGATATTACATTTTTAAAATAGAGTAATTGCATAATTAAGTTATTAACGTACATATATTTTAATATTATATTATTATTTATTATTATCTATTATTATTATTGTTGTTGTTGTTGCTGTTGTTATTATTATTATATATTACTATATAATATATTTTATAAGACAATCTTTGGAATTAGTCTCGATCAAGAATAATTTGATTTTGTTGTTTCTTCTCGAAATGCATATATATATATGTACATGCAATCTTTTATGTGATTTAAAGATTTTTATATCCTGCGGATAAAAATAAAGTTATCTTTACGAAGAGAAGTTATCTTTAAAGGTTTACCAAAGCGATTATTCTCAATATGAAATGCTTGTCCACGGTTTCAATCTCTTGGCACGAAATCAAATCCGGTTTGCCCTCCTTTCCGGTCTAAGTCCCGTGGATTTAGTTACTGTATAGGATTGATAATTCCTGTCGGACAATCCTACAAGGTCCATTGTGAGCCGTGAATATGACGATCGCAACACAATCGTTGATTCAATCGCCGGTCTTCGTATTGTCGATGACTATGGCGCTGGAAATGGATCGAGGCTTAAATATTCACCATATCGACATTACCTTCCTTCACAACCTAAGAATGACCGTGATAGCTACAATTTCATTAGCACTTAAGATAAATTTAAATCAAGTCAAGATTTATAGTATCAAATCATTTAACCAAAGAAAGAAAGAGAATTACAAAACATAAAACTACAGAATCACTTCGCAAAATCAGTTTTTCATTTCATTTAGAAAAAGATTATAAATGACATTTCTTTAGCATTATATCAAAAGCAATTACTAAAAGCAATTACTGAATGATGATTTACTTGAAATAATTTTTAGACTAATATTAATATAATTAACAAGATTTTTCAGTTTTAATAAAACTAGAAAATTTTTTATAATATAAATTCAGTCTTCCAAAAATAGTCGTTTTTTTTTCATTTCATGCAGATTTTAAATTATGCCCCAGCGAAAGTACATTAATCTGACAGATGACGGAACGCTCTGCTTTCAGAAAATTGAGAAACCGTTTCTGGATGCGGTGGAACGTACGTTGGAGGACCGATACTCGGAGAACGTGGAGAACATCTACAAGCTGACGATCAAGTTCATCATCGAGACGCTGATCGACGGCTTCGACAAGGCACAGAGCGACAAGGCCAAGTCCTAGTCGTCCTAGTCCCGAGGATCCGGCACGCACGCGATCGCCCTCGATCCTGCGAGATGTTGACCGCCCCCCCCGGTTCGCTCGGTCCCTCCGGCGCCTGAAAACGGGAGAAAGCCAGCCGTCGCCGATTTTTGGAAGAGACGACGACGAGGGAGGACAATCGTCGTCGTCCTTGCGTTGGTTTCGCGCGGCGTCAACACGCACCGCGTCACTGCTACATTTCTCCGCGGATTCCCGAGAAACGCGAATTATGCGAGCGCGCGGCGTCCTTACGCGCCGTCGCCCTCGCCGGCCTGAGATCTTTTTCCCCATCGAGCGGGTCTCGCCATTAAACGTCTCCGGATATTAAGAACACGATCCCGAATCAGTCCTTCGGGATTCCTTTACAAAAACGCCGCGTCGCAACGCGAAGCGAAAGAGCCGCGCGACTCTCCCGACGGTCGAAGGATTCTTTTTTTTTTTTTTATTATCTGTTCAACACACGACTAACGAGATTGCATAAATTTTCGACTATAAAAACACGCAAAAACAAAATGACATGAATTTAAATGACATAAAGTTCCAAAAAATGTGTGAAACAATTTTTAATTTCTTTTGCGATATTTTTTGATAAATTTATGTCGTTTTGGGACATGTGTATTTATTCGAAAAAATGAAAATGATATAAAGTGTCTTTCTTTTTTTGAATTTAGGATTATAGGGTTTATATCCCTAAAAAAATTGAACTCGAATCGCAAGTTTTAGATTCCTTTTCAGGTACTCATGAGTAAATGTCAATTTTAATTTAAGTTTAACTTAGATTTACTTTAATTCTTCACCTCCTTCCGATGCCAATTCCGGAAAAGAGGCAAAGAGTGGGTTAAATTAAGATTAAAGCGCACTGACGGCAGTAAAACCAACTGAAAAACGCTAAATTCGAAGTTTATCTGGAATCTACCGGGTGATCGATCAATTTTTACGAACGGTGCCAAAATGTCCGTAGGAAAATTTTCTGCAGAGAGATTTACTTTTGAGATTTTATGAATTGTGTATATGCACATTTTTTACCTGGAAAATATTGTCCGTGAACGAGCATATTTTGTCAAATAACGAAAAAATTCCAGGAATGCTTTTATAAATTTATCAATTTGTGTTGCAGAAAAAGACTTCAATTCTTTTTATTATTTACTTATTATTTCACTGGGAATTTATGTCACATTCCATACAAGATCTTGCACAAGAAACATACTGTAAGTATGTTGCAACATTTTGAAGAAAAATACAAGTCTTAACATTTCCTGAATTCTCTTTTCAAACGAATATATCCTCCAAAAAAATAAAACTCGAGGACGTGGGTTTAATTATTCAATTAAATATTATTCAATTTTATTTATTTATTTGTCATGAACACGCAAATATTTGAATACTTCTCCGTTTCATTTTCTAAATATCACTCGTTATTTGTTTCTCTTCGACGACGATAGGCTTCTAGTTTCAATACATTTAGCAGGAGTAAAACGCAAAGTGACACACGTCGTTATTGATCAGACACAGAATTAGAAGGGAGGAGGTGGGAGAGCTTTTCTCTTCCATGGGAGAGACTTCGATCTTAAGAGGATTACTAAAACGTATCTTTGGTATACTATACAATATACTCCTCGAGCAGGAGTAGCATAGGTCGAAATAATAGTTCTCATTACGATATTACTGCACGCAAAATAAAGTTCGGCCAGCCGATGACGTTTGCCGCGTACGACGTCGCTTTAAGAGTCCATTATGTCGCAAAAACTGTCATTAACTTCTCATGAGTGCTATAAAACCACTTACTGCGTACGGATAACGATGACTCTTTCATCGCGCCTCTTCACATAATTACACTGTGAATTTACGGTATTAAGCGAGGGTTATAAAGCGAAAGAAAAGACGTTTCCGTTCAGTAGCCTCTTCACGCGTTTTTTTTTTAAATGCCTTTTACGGACGAAACTCGTATTCCGCTAATAACGTTAAGCCGCTTTTATTTGCGCGAGAAGTAGTTTCTAAAGTAACATAAATCGCATTAAGTTCAATTAATCAAGGGAAAATTTGCATTGTTACGCGCGCTGCAAACCGACGTTCGTATTTAATTAAAAATATTGTTCATATATATTCAGACCGTTTAACATTAATCAATATTTGCGGAAACGACCTTCCGACACGCGTCCCGCGGTAATTCGATGATCTCGCCGAGAAGTTCCTTTCTTTTTCGAGTTGGACGTTGACAACCTGTTCGCAATCAATACTCTGCAACAAATTACATCGTTCGTTGTAAACTCGCTTGAGCCTCGCGAATACAGATACCTCGGAATAATCCGCGCGGACTTTGATAATAACCGCGATTTATCTCTCTCGGCGAAGGTCGCGTGCTGTTCTCAATAAGCTGAGTCCGTTCGTGCAAGATACGCTGGCATTTTATATATTTGCATTAAACCGCGGATACGAGAGTTCGGGTTCAAGAGCGATTTCATACGCGTTTCCGATTTTCAATATGCGCTCGATAATTGATACAAGCACGGTGGCGGCGGGAGTGATGGCGGGGGTGGCGACGGCGATGGCGGCCAGTCAATCGACGCCGACTGCTGGCCTTTTATTCACGGCAGCCTTGGATTACATAAGTCACGCAGGATACCCTCCCGCAATGCGAGGCCGAATGCATGTGAATGCAAATACTCATTGTTTCGGAATGGGGTCGCGATTTAATCGTAAAAAAGATGTCACCTCGTTCTCTCTCGAGCATTATGCTCCCGACGTCCTTACTCGTGATGAAGATTTATTCGTCTAATTTCGTCGAATTAATCGGCGCTCTCTCGCCGTGAACTTGAAAATGTCATTAAAAATCTGTGGAAGCGTCAGAGCTCGTTAATTGCTTTGTAACTTTTATCAAGAACTCCTCCGTGCGAATACACGCTTAGACACACTTTGATCACGCCACGTGTGACGTGCACACCGATTGACGTTTTAATGAAAACGTCAATCAGGATTGACATTTTCTGTTTTGTTGATTTAACTTGTAGAAAGCCGTGACGATCACCGACGATGTCGGTGGCATCACACTAATGTGATCCCATTGATTTAAATGTAGTCGACTCCTGTCAATAAAAAGTCGATTAAACAAGTTCATTTGTCGAAAATTGCATTTAAATACCGCGTACAATTAAACATATAATTTTTCAATTCTTGCGATTCTTTCTGAATCAAAATTCGCAAAATGATTACATTTTGTCAATTTCAATTTTACCAACAGTTTTATATATATAATTTTTTATCTTAGAATTAATACTCAAATTGAGTTAAAAGAATTCTAAGAACATCTTTATTATTGAAATAAATCTAAAATATATTAGTATACGAACGTTTTTGTATTTTTCTTTGTATTCTTCTTGTATTTTTTCAAGAAATGTTGCAAATCTTGATGATAAATGATCCTATGTTGTTCAGAAATTTTATATTTGTTGCGAAATATTTATGATATTGCGTGTAAATAGACATTTGCGTATTACGATCTCACCATCTCCGCTCCATCGTAAAACAACATCGTATCAATATGGAAGCGTATTTCTCGTTCGAGTTTATGCAAGATCGATTGCGGCGATCACAGATGACACATAAATGGAGAGGAACATGCGGAAATTATTGATACTCCGCCAATCGATCACGAGATTGTCATGGCGAACGCGGCCAAATTAGATTCTAAACGCTTAACCAAGGAGGATAGCCATTTATAAACTCCCGGTGATTCCATCAATCTTTTATCTTGAATTTCTTCTTCGCGATCAGGACGCGTTTCAACGCATTTGACCGACCCCCTTCTCCCCCCCCCCATTATACTTATATCATTTTTCGTTACTATTATTACGATATATCTTTCGACTTTCAATTTTTCGTTCCTTTCTTTTCTGAAGAGCAGAAGAATGACATTTCCATACGGAAAAAGACATCTGTTTATATCCTTATAGCCACGAAGGAGCTCCATAAATTTTCACTTTATACTTTGCTCTTATTTCTAACGAGACGAGAAGTACAGAGTGAAAAATTGCAAAGCTATTTTATTTCCTTAACATGCGTTCGGTATCGATCTGCTTCTTAACGGCAGACCCGATCTCGATTCGGTTCTTCGGTGATATGCAACGTCACCGAGCCCGAGAAAGCGGCCAGAACCCTTCGACCGTCAACGGAGAACTTGTATAAATTTTTACTCGTATCAGTAAGTGACAGTGGAAAAAAAATGTGGTTTCTAGGGTAAAGAGCCCTTCGCGCAAATGTCAATTTCCTAGAAGGTCTCGGGAAGGCAGAAGGCCTCTCCGTCTTTGTATCTTCCTCGCCGTCTTTATCTATCTCAATTTCTCTCTGAGGACGATTCGCTCAGCCCATGTTGCGCCCTATGTTGAACCCGGCGAATCGTAACATACCCTTGAAAAAGGCCGCGACACACGACCGGGACGACCGCGGGACACGTGACTTACGGGGAAACACCCTAGAAACGTAACACGCGATACGAATCCATTAGAAGCACTACGTGTATATGTCTGCATCACGTTTTATTTATAACAATCATTCTCGGAAAATTTCTCTCATCTGATAACCGTCGTGCGATAATAAAACCGCGACGCGGTTAATTCCACCATCGCGAATTGTGCATTCGCTCGAATTAAACTGAAAAATTAAGAGGGAAAACTCTGTTAGAAGGAATGTCGACGTTGTTTCTCGAGCGGGAAAGAATTAATGTTGGCTGTACACGCGGTCGCGTTAAGGAACGCTATTTCCATGCCAATAACTGCCATCGCGACAACGCCACGTTCGCTACAAAAATAGCACGTCGTTATTAGGGCATTCCGCATGCGGCTTAAGTTTCCATGGTGTATTTAAAGATGAGTTACCAGTTACCAGTTACAGTAGACGCTCGTTGCTTTAGAATCGTTTCCGAACGCATTGGGAAAACGTCACTCGCGCAGTTTCGCGTGAAAGAGGTGAGAAGAATCAAGAATAGCGTCCTACTTATCTTTTCGTCCGCGTTTCTCCTTTAATCGAGAATGATGATTAGCGGCCCGGAGGCGATTTGCATCGCGAAAAGGAAAGCGAGGCAATAAAATTCGTTTCTCCCTCCCGGCGATACATTTACCCCCATTCCCTTTCAGGGACGATACACATTACCGGCCATCCTATCAGTCATTAACTTCGTTAACCATCGTAGCACGAATAATGAAACTAACCGTCGTGCGCAGAGAAACTTCCCGCGGGACGATAAACGACGATAAATAACGAGCGTGCCGCGCAAAATCGATTTTCCAACAGAAGACGCGACACGGCAGGAAGTTTTTGCGATACCATGCGAGTAACGTCAGGCGCACGAGGTTCCCACGCGTTTCGCGCAAAACGGCAATTTCCATCTTGGACTTGAATTATCATCCGCCCCACACGCGAGTTTGGCGCGACATTAATATTTAGCGTGTTCGAAACACGCTATCGCAAGAAGTCTCCGATAGAGAGTCTCTGTCTTTCTCTCTCTCTATCTCTCTCTCTCTCTCTCTCTCTCTCTCTCTCTCTCTCTCTCTCTCTCTCTCTCTCTCTCTCTCTCTCTCTCTCTCTCTCTCTCTCTCTTTGTTACTGTCTTTCTCTCTCTTTCTTGCAAATACACGGTAAACGCTGAAGCTTTTTGTACTTTCCTCTTGGATTTATATAACCGTTCATCTTGATGCTACAATTAGCGCCTTGTACGCCCGGACATGCTATCGCCGAAGTATCCTATCGCTGAAGTATTTTAAATACGAGAGAGAGGGTTTGGTGAACACACGATCCATCATATCACGTATCCGCGGTCGTTTTCCGCTCGTCGGGAACGGCGAACACGTTGCCTCAGGGAGAAAGAATACGTGTGTTCAATAGCGAAAAAACGGAGAATAAAGAACAATTGCGAACGAGAGGGTGCGTGGCATCGCGAGATAGCCGTACGAGTATTCGCGGATATTCGCGTGTGACCACGGCGAACGATGTGAACGCACCCTTACTTTAACCGAGACTAAAATCGATCGACAAATTAGGTAAGGTAATTAGCGCTTCCGCGGTTCGCGACATCCCGTCGTCGCCGAGGTTCGTAAACCTACGTCATGATTATTCTACACTGAAAGAAGAGGAAATTATTTAGGTGGATGAAATTGGCAGACAAAATTACTTTGCTCCAGGGGAATTTTAGGTCAACAAATTACAATTTAGTGCAACAAGTTTAACGATTATAACCGTTGGCTTAACGATTATAACTAATTCAAAGTGCAATTACGCCAATAAATTTTCGTCGAACATATAATTCATCTGTTCGATATAATGTTTGTCGACGAACAAGAGCGTCGTCATTTTTTAATCTTTTATTTCAATTGTTCTCTAATTATAGGGTATATACACTACTGAATAACTGGATAGAAAAATATCGGATATAATTTAATTTCACGTTGAAAATACATTTTTATTAAAATAGATAGCGAATAAAAATGAGATAAAGCAATTAAATTTTATTGATATAAACAAATTGATATAAAATAATTTAAAAAATTGATATTGATTTTATCAAAGAATCATTGAACTATTTATCCATGGCTGTCATACGCTTCCTTTGAATTCTGACAGATCACTCACCATAGCCGGTCCTCACTTCCACTGCAATGTCACAGTTTGTCTCTCCACTCTTTCATTATAAATTTCAAATTACTTTCACGCGCGTAAGGTCAGTCAAGCTGCGAACATTCAGTTCTGATGGATCACTTAATAAGACAACTGCATGACGAAAAATTTTATTTTCACTCAAGAGAGAAGAAGAGAGATCGAGCTGAAGCGATAACGCCTAAGCGGTCATTTAGTGGTGCATTTACCCTACCGTCGATTTGCATTTCAATTTTTTACCAGGGCGATATCAACGGATATCACGAGAGTCAGTTCGGAGCCCGCGACTTTTCCCCGGCGAACCGCGATCGCGCCGCGATAAATGTTGCATGAAATGAATATTAAGAGTCCGCCGCACGAGAAGAATCGCGGACCACACCGTGCGCCCTTTCCATTCTTTCCCCGACGCCGAAGTGTAACTCGAGGACTCCTGTCGGGCGTCGAATTTCGAGGCAAACAATATCGATCGTTCGAGTATCAGACTGGTGCAATCGGACGATAGCTCTTAGCGATAAAGCCGAAAAAGAATTGGCAGAGGAGCATTCTTCGAGGGTAACGGTGGCGAGAAAAAAAAATGAACATGACGAAGTCGAAGCGGATTAGGCGTGTAATTTATATTTTCTGCGAGGAATAATTTATCTCACGGGTGAGAAGTCAACGTCGCAGAAATTTTACGGAAATAATAATAATAATTCCGGTATCTTTTCTCTCACGTTTCCCATCAAGAGCCTCGAGTTCGGTCACGTATGGATGAATACCGTCATTTGTCAGTCCATCAGCGTCCTCGAAGGACACTTCCGGATATTTTACACTTTTTTCCAAAGATTTAAGGGCTACTAGGAAACAAAATGTGTGCGACGCGTCACACCCGCACACATGTCCCGCGTGCGGCGAAGCTTGAAACGTAAAAAGAAAGCGAAAAAAAAAACGAAAAAAAAAATACTGAAGAATATCGAAAAACGAAAAAAAAAAATATTTCGTACGGAACAAATGCACAAAAACGAGCTGTACCTTCTTTTTCTCGCAGAAATCGAAAGACCTATTTAACCGAAAGTCTTCATGAAACGCGCAGGAAGCACACACGAGAGAGAAATATATATTATTATATAAATATATATGAGATATAAAAAAAATTGCTAGTATATCTTGCAGTTATGCGAATGTTGCATTGTCTAACTGTTTGTTCCATACAGATCCAGATGTATTATTGTATCCGATGGAGTATTATATATCAAAATATATAATATATATCTATATATAATTTCTGAAACTTGCAAAATCCCTTCATCTTTCCTAATATTTTCTGTAATTGAAATGACTTCAAATCACATGTTTAAACAATTCAATTGTCTGTATTGCCCATATTTCTTTTTATTATTAATCATACATTTAAATTTTAATCTTTAGGTCTGTTTAATCTATCTTAACTATAATTTATTGTAACTATCGATAAGTTTAGCAAACAACATATTATTTCTTATTCCTTTAAAAAACAAGGAGGTTTATAATTCTTTACATTTCTTTAGTTTTATATTGGCATTAGAAAATTATAATAACTAGATTAAAATAAGTTAAATTACACTAAAAATGACTTTGATCAAAATACTACAAAATGACTTTGTTCACTTCATAATCAATGTTACTTCATAATGATTAGAGTTCTATGAATGGAGAAACAAAAATTTAACATTTTTAACATTTATCTCGATCAAGTATTGTAGATATTGCTTCATTAATTAATTGATAATTAAATTAATCAGAATTTGATCAGTTTTGAAATCCATCAGAGGATAAATCAGGGAGGAACGAAGTGAAATCATTTTCGCGTTTTGATTAAATTTCGTACACTTAACGTCATCTGTAGTAGAAAGTGGAGAACTACGAAACCATCGTCGAATTTTCTAATAGATATAATATCTGATAGTAGATAAAATCTGATAATATTCTGTATGCATTAAATGTACGAAAGTATATAGTTCGATATTTTTATTTTCCAATTATTAATTATATGTTGTTTTAAATATAATATTGTATATAATCATTTATAATGAAAGAAAAATAATGTATATTTTTATGAATAGAAATTTTACTTTTTTTTTAGAATTTCTACAATTAAAAGAAATGAATTGAGATTAAAATTAATAAATATTAGAAAGAGATGTAAGAGAAACAGCTGTAATTTTTTTTGTGTAATCTAGTATTTTTTTTATTTTGCGATTGGTACTATCATGTTCTGGTGATACCAGAAAATGATACTATGTCAATTTTTAACTGAATTTTTTTGCACTATTTATCTTTTCTCTTCTTTTCTTAAACGTGGAGAACAAAAGAGAAAAGGTAAATAGTGTTAGAAGTTTATCCAAAAAGATTGCTTTTTCGCGCATATGCAACTCTGTATAGTGAAATCCAGTGATGTATCATGTACAAGTGACAAATGGACGCGAAAATCTTGGCAGGTCCAAAGTAATTAATAAAATAAAAATGTCATATATTAAAAAATATGCAGCTAACTTAATGTTAACATAATATGCTAGCATATAGATGTATAGATTTTTATTAATTTCTAAATTTAAAAATATTTTTAAATTAATTTTTAAAATATCTAACTGAGGGGATTTAAAAACCTTCTTTCTCATAAGTTAGATATTTCACTGAAGTAATAGTCGTACGCATGTGCAGAAAGAATATTACTAAGAACAACTGATTACCAGCTGTCAAGTATTGCTCGCTGAGCTGATACCGCGCGTTGAGGCGCGTTAGTTGACAATCGAACGTGAAGTATATACGAAAGGTATATATTTTAATGAGGTGTAAAATGCATTAAGTGCACCGACGATATAGTGAAACTTTCGTTTAATTTACATTTTAAATTTTCAAACATTGTATCGCGAAACCAGAAATTTTTCATTCAATACTGTTTTTGTTGTGATACATAACCTCTTGCTTGATTAAAAACAGGATTCTTAATACTGTACATCGTGAAGATAAGAAAAACAATATAAATTAAAACAGTGTACTAAAATTTAAATGTAAATATGCCATGTAACTCGCTTGGATTGAAAGTATTCCCATAAAAAAATACGCGCCTAATGTTACATAGACAAATGTCAAGACGTTACTTTTTACAACAATTAAACACGATATAAAACGATATAACTACATATAACTACGATTCCGATCGTAATATTTTGATCTCATCAATATGAACTTTGCTTTACATAATTTATGAATATTTGTTTAATATTTCTCTACCAAACACGTATTTAGAATATATGGACTTTTCTGATGACAGTAGTTTGTTGATACATAAAAGAAGGATTGGAGACTCAAAATCATCGAATGTTTGAATTGAAAAATGTTTTAATTATTTGGAGATTTTAAAAAATAATTATTTTTAAAAACGTGATTCTCACACACACTCTCTCTCTCTCTCTCTCTCTCTCTCTCTCTCTCTCTCTCTTTCCATACGCAGAACAAATTGGAAAAATTGAAATTGTTGCTATTAGTTATAAAGAAATGAATATTGAATATTAAGATTCAAAAAATCTGCTTTATTAACTGCATATAATTATATAACAAATTTTTTTGTTCAAAAGATAAATGCCAAGCGTCAAAGATGAATCGGAAGGTGAAGGGGAGGAGATGTCTCATGACAGTAATGACAGTAACCAGAGCTCTGCATCCTGTGATAGCAGTCCAGAGCACACTGACAGCGATGATTCATCGGAGATGGATGAGGATGAATGTGAGAGGAGGCGCAACGAATGCATGGAGAATCTATTAGATTTAGAAAGACAATTTACTTTACTTAAAGAACAGTAAGTATTCTATATATTTAAATTTTTATAATATCAAAATAATCTATACAAAAACATGTCTAAGTTTGCTTGTAAGATATATTAAAAATATACTTTTAATTAATGACACTGCATTAATTAATAAAGATACTTGATAATGATTATAAATTTCTTCCTCTCAGTTACATAAAATTTATTTAATAATACTAAAATTAATAATACATTACAATTATTATCTATTATTATTATCTATTGTGGGATTAAAATTATTGATTATTGATGTCGTAATCAAGTTATTAAGGAAAGTGCAGTAAAATGTTTTAACAAAATTGTTACTTATTATAGATTGTACCGAGAAAGAATCACGCAAGTGGATACAAAGCTCGGAGAAGTACGTGTTGGAAAATCTGAAGAATATTTAATACCTTTGGAACGGCTAAAAGAAAATATGAAAACGAAAACAGAAGTTGCCGGGATACTGAAAAAATATAGACTACAAAATATTCAAAATAAATTTCAAGCAGAAGAGCAAGCTGCCAAACAAAATTTTGAAAGTGAGAAAGGCTTAATCTGGGACTGCATCCATAACGATCTACAAGACAAGATTCGTCGTCTAGAAGAAGATAGAAATAATGTGGATATTCATGCAGATTTATGGCTTAATACAACCGGTAGAAGACGTAGGAATCATACGGAAAGAAGACGAGCGGTTTCCGTCGCAGGTCCTTATATTGTTTACATGCTCAATGACGCGGATATACTAGAAGATTGGGCGTTAATAAAGAAAAGCCTAAGTAGCCGAAAAACAGAAATTATGTAAGTTACATTGAAGAGCCGTTAAAAATAGCTTCGTTAAATTACGCATCCATCCTTGAAATAACAGAAATTTCGTCCAACCGGAAGTATGTCTAAAATTAGACAAGCAACTGGCATCTATTGAGCATCTGATATCTGTACAGTGTGCCTTGATGTAAAAATAAGGGTAATTATTTACTACAGTATAAATAATTATCGAATTAAAATATCATATTCGCCAAGACATTTCTGTGGTGCACTAGTGCAGGAAAATTATGTACACACAACTGTGCCGTCAGAAGAGACAAATTTATAGTTCACAGGAAAAAAGAAGAGACTTATAATAGGTTTATATTAATTTTAACTCATAGAAAAACTTACAAGACAAACAATTGTGTTAAACCATAGTCAAATGTCAATTAATTTTGATATTCGATATATGTATCATCATTGTTTATTTCTCTTTCTATTCTTCATTGTACAATTCTATCATCTACTTTATACTTCCTATTTCACATAGTGAAATACGAAATTATGAAAAATAAGAAGACAAGCGTAAAGTGTTGTTTTTTCACAATTTTCAACATCTAAATATAAATTGCCTCTCTTATCATCGCGTCCTACTAAAATATCCAATATTTCTAAATCATCGCAGCCATTAGAAAATAATGCAATGGTTTTCTTTTTATCATCACAGTCTAGTCGAGAAGAATAAATAATACGATATTGCACAGTTGCTTGGAATCTGGGACATAATATTGAAAATTTAATGATTAAAAACAATATCTTATATTATTATGAAAGTTTCATTTTCAGCAAATGTGCGTTTATTTAAAATATAAGTGATGGTTGCATAAATATATTTTATTAGTACGCTGTTTAAATATATCTCACAACATTTTAATTTAAGATATATGGCGAAGAAAACTACAATCCGCAAAATTTGTGTGTGACATTGTAATAAGTAGTGTGATACAATGACTGAGAGAAGGAATCATATGCAAAAGAACTCTGTATTATAAATAAAGTGTATTTTAATTTTTTTACAACATATCCAGTAAATTAAATATTAACATCGTTCCAATAGTTCGGCAGCAGTTTTAATTATAACATATTGCAGTGATTGCGTTCTGAACTCGTGTCCTATAGGCGAATTCTGCAATATAAGATGCAACAAAAATTGAGCAGTTTCTGTGATTCTATTTAAATAATATATTGAGTCATTCGTTTTAATTTTTCTTTTTATCTTTTATTTTAAAGTTAACGAAACGCATCCTTTTTATCAATAAAATTCAGCAAATTTTTGTCTAGCTCAATAATACGTATTGAGAATTATTATTACGGTAATTCTTAAATCTGCATTTATCGATTAACTTATATTCCATATTTAGCATTGAGGAATTAAGAAGAAAGACGAGATCAAAAGGGAGAAGAGAAGATAATTTTAAATGTAATTTTTATTTAGGCTATGTACAACACATACGTACAATACGTGACCCTTGCTTAAAACTATGTTACGCTCGTCCGGTATGCATTTCCACTTAATTTTTTAATCTTGCCTCTCGACACAATGTGATGCGTGTGACTTTGTGTTCGGATGCAGAGACGTGTGTCCACGCATGCCTTGTGTATTACTTTTTTTTTTGTATACGTGTATCGTGTGTATGTGTAAATGTATATATATGCGTGTGCGATATGTTACAAACTTTTTAGGAACATTTCTCGTGGAATGCCGCGAGCGGTAATAATAAGGTCGCAGCGAAACTACACGAAAACAATGCGCAGTCGTCTGCAGCGCTTCATCCTCGAGTCGATATATTGATTAGACAGTTATCGAAAAATGACACCAATATAGACGATTGTTGACTGGACAGACTCCGAATATTTATGACTGAAAGGCGCCAGGGAGAAGTCGCTAGTCGCGCGTTAATTAATCGTTTGCACTCCGTTTCTTGTCCCCCCTCTGACGTCTTTGCGAAATTGCGAATTTGTGATACTAAATAGATATTTTTATTTATTATATAGAAAATTACACGCGTTAAAGTTAAAGTTTGTAATATATTTCGTAAAATCAAGCAAAACGGAATATGATTGCCTCCTTTCTTTGTAAGGAGCTATACAAAGTGCGTACAATATTTCTCGTGTCACACTCTTGTCACAAATATGATAATATTAGAAACAATAGGGAAACAAAGGATTTTGTCCATCTAGAAGCTCGAAGTGCGAACGATTAACGATGACGAAAGCTTCGATTTTGCTTTTACGCGGGAAAGCATCCGGACGACGAGCGTTCGCAATAATTAACCGGTTTGCGGCAACAAACGTTCGACAACGTTCGATCCTCGTTCGACAACTGTCTCATTGACAATTTTCATTGCGTGATAATGGTAAATTATCTCCATTAATTAACGATGATTAATAGTGTGTCATTGTCGACAGCTGGCGAGTTCCGCACCTTTGCGACATCAGGCAATCGTACGACCTGGAATTATTCGCCCGTTGACGCAATCGGTTTGCATTATTACGAGGACAACATTGTTACACGATATGATCTGTTAGCAGATAATTACATATTTAATTCTGGATATGGATGAGATGGAGGGCAACTCCATCCTTCTCGTTAAAACTCTGACGACTCTGTTCGATAATCGGTGATAAATCTCATGATCATGGGCCTGTATGCGTTTCACCAAATTGTCCAGACACTCGGTATCTCGGTGAGATTTTTCGCCTTGCAGCGCAATATCGCCAAAATTTATATTCGCCTCATTCCAAGTTCAAAAATCGTCGCGATGCCGACGCACCTCCTCGACGTAAAAATCGACATTCGCGAAAGCAACGATGAGTCAGATCTCGTCTCTTCGTTTAACAAATTCACCGTTGCGATCCGTTATTCAAGTCTGACATTAATGACGCCGGATACTTTCCCGGGGTATAAAATACGCAAAAATTTGCGTAAACGTCTCGAATATACAGCTATCCAGTCGGGCAACTCTTGCTAAATGTTTTATCGACACCCACGTCGCACTCCCGCTCTAAAAATGACACGAATCTAAAAATATAAACGGTGCTTGTTAATGCAATCCCGAAGACGTCGCCAATAATTTTTCATCTATTAACTTCCATCTGTACCTTACACGCGACGCTCCGCAGTTCAGCGTTTCCATAGTAAAACGGAAAATCGTCATTTGTATCTCTCCTATTTTATTGTTTAAAAGTTTACGCGACGACGCGCTCTTGCACGCTGATTTATGTGCGAAGGGGTGAGTTTCGGCCCCCCCGATCCGCCACGACGGGGAGTACCCTGGCGCCCCTCAAATTTCGAACGCAAAACACTGTCGGATACCACCGTCCTCCTCTAACGCGCCCCTTCTCCTGTCCCCACTTGATTATCCAAAATCGTGATCAACATAAGCACACACAAATCAATGCCTAATATCATTCACTAAGGGTATGCTTACACTTTTAAAAGGACATTGAAAAATCGCATATGCTAGAGTATCTGCCGATTACGCAATCTCTATGTATCTATATCTCTTCTCTCTTTCTCTCTCTCTCTCTCTCTCTCTCTCTCTCTCTCTCTCTCTCTCTCTCTTTCTTCCACCCTCTTTTATGTACAGTCCCGTACCCCTGCCCTCCCTCTCTCGCCGATTGAACGAAAGTGTGTGGCACGTATCGTTGTTAAGAGATTAACGAAATGTCGCGCGCGAATTATGCGTGGTTGCGATGCGTCTCTCGAACGGAAGAAACCGGTCGCAGGGAAAAGAAACGGCTACACGTAGAAAATACACGGCAATCTCGCGACAAACGGGCTCTACGTTTCTGTACACGCACAATTGCGGGATGTCTCTTCGCTGTCCGCGAATCCGGAATGCAGAGTGTCTCGGGCATCATCTTCTGTCATATACTGGAGAAAATAATCAATTTTTTTTATGCGAAGATTTTTTTTACGAGAGAAAATACCTAATTGCAAAATGTAAGTTCTGTAAGTTAAAATCAACCACTCGAAAGATGAATGAAGACCTAAATATAGAAAAAAAAGTTGATATGAACATAGACTTAAAAATGCGTTGTTTTCGAGCGAGTTATCAGCATTTTTACGTTTTGAAATTTGAAGTTGCTTTGCTTTCGAATTTCTTTGTCAAAACTGAAAGAATAGGTGATCTTTATAAATTTTATAATATAATTAAAGTCAAATAAAAATTGCAGCCAGCACTACTCGAAATGCATATTGGCTATGGAATACCGATCCAAGAAATACTAAGCGAACTGTATCTCCACGTAGTGGATCCTGTATGCATCCTGTATGCGTCCTGTGTGCTAAAACAGCTCGCAATTTTTATTTAACTTTAATTATGTTATAAAACTCGTAAAGAGATCGTCTCTTCTTTCAATTTTGACAAAAAATTCGAAAGCAAAACAATTTGAAATGTCAACATGAAAATGGTGATAACGCGAAAATGACACATTTTCAGACTTTGTTCATATCAATTTTTTTGTTTTTAGATCTTCAATCACTTCCCGAGCGATTGACCTCCACTTTTGAAACACTCTTTATATAATATTTAATAATCTTAAAATTCTCGATTTAAATCGCCCTTCTTCTGCGTAATATTAAAACAGTTTTAATCAACATTTTCTTCGACAGATTTACTTCTTTTGATTTACGATCAATTTTTTTTTAGATTGTTAACAAAGACTTTTGAATATATAACAATAAAAGTTAAATTTTAAATAATTTAAAAGAAACGTAAAAATATAAGAATATTTTGTTCGAAATGCATCTAGTTTTTTTTTAGATTTAACTTTATTAGATTTGATTTTGATTCAAAGTTTATATATATTAAAAAATATCTCTCGCAAAGTTATGAGAGAATTTTCAAGTAGACAGAAGGAGTACGCGATGCCAGGGACAAGCCGTATGTCGATCATAATGTGTTCTAAGTCGCACAAATCACACGAGAAGTCATGAGCGAGAATCTGGGTGTACCAATTGTTACTGTGCAACGATATTTCAACGCGCGGTCAACGCGTTGTTGAACTTTTGAAATTCGCATCCCGGATGCTCGAGATAAACGCAGCCCCCGCCATTTCGTCGTCGCGCTCGGCCCCCAAAGTTCGGCTCGTTCGGACGACGAAATGCGAAATCTTCCCTTCGCATGCTTTTCGCACGCGTGTATGCCGTTGCGAATCGAGCCTGCTTGCTGCAAGCGAGACGCGAGGACGTGTGATGAAATCAGGATGTCGACGCGGCCGCACAAGCCGATTAGCGCTTTTTTTAACGCAAATCGATCCACGATTTTGTTTTTCCTTTCTCTCATTTTCTTCTCTTCTTCCTTTCGCGAAACCGCAAAACGTCGTACGTCGGGTCTTCGTCGTACGTTCGTCTACTTTGCTCTCACTCTCTCTCACACTCTCTCTCTCTCTCTCTCTCTCTCTCTCTCTCTCTCTCTCTCTCTTTCTCTCTTTCTCCTTCACCGATCATCACGTCCGGTCGATTCGATCATAAGTACGCCATCGGATTCCTGACGAGATCCTCGAGTCGCCCTCTCGCCTCCGTTTACAATTATGTCTGATACTGTAACATCGGTGCGGCCAGATTCGGGTGGTGGGCTGTGTTCATTCTCAGGGCGGAGATGCTCTTGTTATACCACTCGTCCTCCGCTGACATGCCTGAAACGGAAAAGAAAAGCGGGATTGTTAGACGAAGCACGCACGCGCGCGCGTGTTTCAAGCGTCAGATCGGATTAAGAGTGGTTCGCTAATTTCCCTCTCTTCGATCGATACTTGAACCGTTTATCAACAATATCGTAGTACCAGTCCCAATGTCATTAATGTTAATTTTAACATCCACGCGACGTTTCCCACCCCCCCTTCGATACGTTGGACGTCGCTCGGCACGAAGAAGCGAAATTTCTTTTCTCTCCCGAAAGAATCCCGTAGTGATTCGATTTAATCGACTTTCCGCGGTGCTTTATCGAGTCTCCGCTAATCGGTCGATTTGCTATCGCATTAAGACGTTAAAGAGAGAGGCGTTAAGTCGTTAACGAG